ATTGTTGGGGATGTTACATCCCCAAAATTCTCTTGATAATGCCGTAATTTGATTTTCACGTTTTGCCAGCATGGGCCGATCAGATGACCCTGAGATTTCAATTCCCAACAGGAAAATCCATGGCTGTGATTGGCTGCTGTGTATTTTAGTGTGCTATTTTCTTAACTGTCTCAAGGACGTTCTTATGTTGTATAAATAAACGAGAGTTGTATGCTTGATTGTACTGTGATTGCTGGGTGTTTGTAGAATATACTTCTACGCTTACAAAGCCTTCTATTTCGACTTGTGTATTCAAGGTAGCCTCCCTGGAAGCTGGTAAAAGTCCCGTTCGCGTTTATCGACTAAGGTAAACTCGTAATAGCCTCAAGCGTACTAAGTGACGAACTTATCAGTGGGGACGGTGCTTTTGGAAATATGGATCCTGCCAAACTTGAATTATTACTTGAGCGGCAGCTGAAACTGATGCAGATGTTGACAGACAAGAAGATTTCCCATTCCACGCAGCCCAGCTCATCTAATGCAACCACAGCTCCATCGGTCGACGGCATCGCAAATAGCATATCTGAATTTCATTATGATCCTGATGCAAATGTCACTTTTGACATGTGGTTCCGGCGTTATGAAGATTTATTTAAATTTGATTTCGCCAACCAAGATGATGCTTGCAAGGTTTGGCTGCTACTTCGAAAGTTGGGCGCAAGTGAGCTGGATAAGTACTGCAATTTGATCCTGCCTTTGAACCCACGAGATTGTTCATTTTCTGAGACTGTCCAGACTTTAAGCCAACATTTTGGCGATAACTCGTCACCGTTTAATACTCGATATCGATGTTTGAAGCTAATTATGAACGAAGATGATGACAGATAGAGAAAGAAGCTCTTGCCCTTGTGTTTGCTGTTCGCCGTTTCCATAATTTTCTGTACGGTCGGAGATTCACGCTCCTCACAGATCACAAGCCTCTGTTAGCAATATTTGGTTCAAAGTCTGGCATTCCAGCCTATTCTGCAAATCGTCTTCAGCGATGGGCCTTGCTACTTTTGGGGTATGATTTCGAAATCCAATATCAACGCACTCTAGAATTCGGTCAAGCAGACGCTTTGTCACGACTCATTATTGATCAAGTGGCGGCTGAGGAAAACATGGTGATCGCATCTCTGTCGGTAGAAGACCACGCAGAATGTGATCTGACAACCGCAGTTCGCGCATTACCGGTGTCTGCAACAGACATACAAAATGCTTCTAGAAACGACCCCATCATCAAGATGACGATGAAATATGTCACTAACGGTTGGCCGTCGAAAAAGTTTGAAGGTGACATGAAGCAACTGTATCAGCGGAGGGAGTCACTATGCATCGTGAACGATTGTCTGATGTTTGGTGAAAGAGTAGTCGTTCCAGAATCCCTTCGTGCAAAAGTTGTGAAACAGTTCCATCTTGGTCATCCTGGGATTAAACGAATGAAGTCGATAGCCAGGAGTTATGCATACTGGCCTCACATGGATCAACATGTCACAGCGTTGGTTGAAAAATGCATGCGGTGTCAGCAGGTGGCAAAGATGAATGCCGAAATTCCACCGGTTTCATGGCCCAAACCTGAGCATCCGTGGTCCAGGATACATGTCGACTTCGCTGGCCCAATAAATGGAACTATGTATTTAATTGTCGTCGACGCCCTTTCTAAATGGCCGGAAATTAGCCCCGTTATGCCGCCCACTACAACTAAGACTATACAGCTGTTTTCTGAAATTTTCTCACGAAACGGCATACCAGATGTGATCGTATCCGACAATGGCTCTCAATTCACCTCTTCCCAATTCCAGAATTTCTGTCAACGGCTAGCCATTAAACACTTACGCTCGCCACCATACCACCCGCAATCGAAAGGGCAGGCGGAAAGGTTTGTGGATACGTTTAAAAGAACACTTCTCAAGTCAAATGGGGAGGGGACGCCAGCCGAAACGTTACAAAATTTCTTGTACGTCTATCGGACAACACCAAATGAATTGTTACCGGAGCAAAAGTCCCCAGCTGAAGTCCTGATGGGAAGAAGATTGAAAACGATACACAGCCTGATGCATCCGCCTAATGCACCCACATCAGTAGAGACAAAGCAGCAAAGACAATCCGCTTACGAGGTGGGATGCCCTGTGTTTGCCCGCGACTGCAGAACGAACCATGGTCCTTGGGTAGAAGCGAGAGTGGTCAGAAGGGTTGGTCGAGTTATGTACGAAGTAGAGGTAGGAGGTGATAAATGGTCAAGTCATCGGAATCAGATACGCAGACGGCTAGCCCTAGATCGCCCATCAAGAGCAGAAAGCATTCCCCTTGACATCTTGCTTGATACCTTCTACCTACCGAGAGCCCCGCCACGAGAAGAAACTCAGCAGCAAGCTGTTCTTCGTTCCCGAAGGTATCCTCTCAGACAGCGGCGACCAATAATCAAGATGCAAGTCGACCCCAGGAGAACAAGCTATTAAAAGGAGAGGAGTGTTGGGGATGTTACAACCCCAAAATTCTCTTGATAATGCCGTATTTTGGTTTTCACGTTTTGCCAGCATGGGCCGATCAGATGACCTTGAGATTTCAATTCCCAACAGGAAAATCCATGGCTGTGATTGGCTGCTGTGTATTTTAGTGTGCTATTTTCTTAACTGTCTCAAGGACGTTCTTATGTTGTATAAATAAACGAGAGTTGTATGCTTGATTGTACTGTGATTGCTGGGTGTTTTTAGAATATACTTCTACGCTTACAAAGCCTTCTATTTCGACTTGTGTATTCAAGGTAGCCTTCCTGGAAGCTGGTAAAAGTCTCGTTCGCGTTTATCGACTAAGGTAAACTCGTAATAGCCTCAAGCATACTAAGTGACGAACTTATCAGGTATATTTTTAAGTCAGTTGAAAATTTAGGTAGTGTATGCATTGAAGCTATTGGGCCTTGCTGACTGACGCTTATACTTATTCACAGTTGGAAATGAAAACCGTTTAATAATGAACTAATTGGGTGATTTATCCCATTGATTATCTGTTAATACATAGATTTTATAGCATTATAGTTGCCGAAGACATTGTTATTCTCTGTCCAAAATTTGTTAACAATTATTTGCTCGCATTTATTGAGCAGTAAGCAAGCTATTGTGTGACCTGTCAATTTGTGGGCATTATATAGTGTTTTACGTTTCGAGTGTTAGTCGTTAGTCTTATTGGAGCACTTGGAGGTTAGCTAAAGCCAATCGAGCCTTCTGTATCCGTGGTGAGATTTCGTCAGTCACCAGGCCATCAGCACTGATGGGACTGCTGAGATAAGTGAAGCGGTTTACACGTTCAACTACTTCACTTCCTATCACTAGTTCAGTTACCAATGAAACCCAATCCTGAAGCAACATTTTGCATTCCGATGGAGAGAATTGTATCCCATGTTTGTGTTTGGTCCCAAGTTTCTGTCAAACTGTTCATTCATATAAAAGGTAGCTTTTCCATGGAATCGTCTTATACGAGGAAATATTATTTAATCATATTATTTCTATCCATGTAATAAATATTTAATACACTTTGAAAATTTATGAGCCTACCGATTCGCAGAGAACATCTCTAACAATTATAGATCATCAATTTTTTCCCTCACCAATTGATTTTAAATTTATATTACGTGAAAAATGATCATTTGACAACCATCAAATAGGAACACGAATAAATAAAACAACATTTTCAATTAATTCATTATTCATTTATAAAAGACATTTAAACAAAACATCATTGGTGATGATAATGATGCTGATGATGAGGATAATAATAATAATGAGATAACAATCTCCTGACACGTAATGACTAGAAATAATAATAATAATAAATAAAAAAGAGTACAGGGAAAATGAGTGATGTGTCTTTACACAGTGTGTTTGTTTGTGTGTGTGTGTGAGAGAGAGAGGAGAATTATAATTGGGTTAAAAATTATCAACAACATTCAATTGTCTATTCTTATATATATATGTATAGAATTATATTATCATTAAGCACTCCTCACTCACTACATTACTCAAATAGATTTCAGCTCCATGGAGAAGAGATAAAACAAAACGAAAAAAAAGTAGAAAGACACCATTATACAATGTGATATTAATCAATCAGTAAACAAACGAAGAAGCTATGTATGATAAATAATAATAAGTGAACAAATCAATAAGATAATCATGATTGAGATGACGTTTTGATGCTGCTGTTGGGCAGCAAACACACATCAACAATGATTGTTCATGTTTGTCTATAAGACATAAAAGTCATAAAACAAATTGACAATAAACTAGAGTTAAAAAAACAAACCATTAAAGAATTCTAAAGTGATGTGCCTTTTTTTTGTTTGTTTTTCGTTAGTCAAAACAAGTCAATAGAAGTTGGATCATTTAAACAAAGTGGATGTTGAAAATGAATTTTTAAAAAAAAAATTAGTAAATAAATTATTGCAATGATTTTGATTTAATAACACAAAGTGTAATAGGATGATAGTCTATTTTACAAAAAAAATGTTTAATAGTGAAAATAAAAGAATATAGAAATAAATGATTGATTGATTGATGAAGATAAAAAAATTGTATATTATGAATAGGGTGGCCGCCAGTTGTGTCTCATCGATGGATAATGAATGCCAAGTTGAGGAATTAAAAAGTAATTCATTCTGCATATATCTTTCATGATCTTCCAGTGTTTATTCACTTATTTATTGATTTTTATTCAATCAACTGAAAAGAAGACAGAAATATGCATTATTTTTTTAAAGGTGAAAGCAATTAAACTAAACTATGATGACACATTAAAATTCAAGTAGATCAAATTCGTTAACCAATAAAAAACGATTCATCTGAGCGACACCAAAAGACACTAGGGAAAATCAAACACACCCACCAGTGAACAATACCAATTTTAAAGGATAAAATATCTTTAGCCATATTATATATAAACTTATGACCTACGTAGACAATCACATCATTCAAAGTAGATAATTCTATGAACTTCTGTTTGATAAGACGTTCCTTAGGATGACCTTCATATATGTCGATCAGACTGTGTACTTAGGCCAGTTATCGCTGGTGTAAGATACGCCACCGTCTAGGATTTCCAACCTACTCTGTCCTAGGCTCTTTTCTATTTGTTTTCAAGTTCTATTTATTCTTTTGATATCTGCTCCGATTCTCGGCGCAATGTGTTTTCGGTTTGCTTTTCTTATTCCGACTTGTCCCGTGACACAGTTGAGTACTTTCCGCAATGTGTGTCTTATCCACCGCAAGCGACTTCTCCTAATTTCTTTCTCAGCTACAATCCTGTTTGTTCTCTCTTGCAGTAAGTTGTGGCTGATGACATTTGGTCGGCGGATTTTCAATATCTTGCACAGATAACTGTTAATAAACATTTTGTGGATGATGGCTTTCTTAGTTCTCCAAGTTTCAGCTCCATACCATAGAAGTGAATTGTGATTTGCATTCGAAATGCTAACTTTGGTGTTCGCTGACAATTGTTATAAGTTCCAAATGTTGTTCAGCTGTATAGAAATGCTGTCTTTGCTTTGCTAATCTATGCCTTTACATCTGCATCAGATCTATAACTTATAGAGCTTCTCCACCAAGTGATTGGTTTGGTGCTCTCTGTGTTGTATCTAAAGATTTTGCTTTTTCCCTTATGTATGTTGAGGCATACCGCTACACTGACTGTCTTCACCTGGATTTGTTGCTGTGTATGGGATGGAAGAGCAAGTTCATCTTCAAAACCCTAATAGTCCAGCTGCAGCAGATCTGTGAGTGCTTCCTCAACGATATAGTTGTCTTCATAATCCCGCCAACCATCAGATAAAAGTTGAGAGTAAGCAGCGTCGTTTGACACAGGTCTTCACTTACATCTATAAGCTGCCCTCTATGCTCGAATATGCAGTGTAATCCTCCGCGAGAGTTCCGTTAGATGGAATAATATAGAGTTGATGAATAAACTTATGCTATAGACAGGTTACTACATATAAACGTTTTTATCAACATTTCGTGATTCAAAATGTTGTTACATCATTGGACAACAAATACACTAGTACGCGAATGAAGAAAGTTTCATTAAGATAGCATCTATGAAACTTAATTATAGATAGAGTGGGACTTACTCCACATCCATACAGTTTATCAGTAATAAAAACAATCCAACTACTTTGTAAATAAGCAAAATGAATGATCACAATAGTTATTTATATATCATCAATAATTAAACAAATAATCTCATTGCATGAAAACATTGCTTATCACTCTGAATAAGTTTGATTTATTTCTACAACCTCAATTATACTTTGATAATATATACAAAAAAACACAACAAATAATTCTTTTCCAATAAAATCAATTGATAATAATAATTTATAAACTTACAGTATATTATAAAAAGTGATCCCAATTGAAAAATATATTATCATTATCCTGATTAATGATGACAAATGTAACATAATCTCATCATTTTCTATTCTATTCTATTATTATTATTATTATTTTTTGATTATTTTATAAATTATAAACAATTTATCAAATGAAATGACGCATTTCAATATAGACATAAATGATGACCATTGAAATTCATAATCTACTATTGATTCAACAGAGAGAGAGATAGAGTAGTGTGAAATACAACAAGAGAATACATATGTGATTGAATCAATAAAAAAACCTCAATGAATATCCATTTTATTGAGGTCTAGATGATGATGAGACAATGGTATTTGTTGCTTTTGTTTTTGTACTATTGTTATTATTAAAAAATATGGATTTCAAAGTGTTATTACCACTATTATTTACAAATAATGAACAACCAGTCATATGTCGTATTGAAGACTGTTGACGTGTAATCTAAAAGTAAAGATAAAAAAACACGATTAATGCTTGGAACTAATCAACAAAATATAAATTGTAATCAACAGATTGGAAAATTGTTACAGTATAAGTGATTACAAATGCAGGATGCAGCTTATTTGATGCATTAGAAGTATTTAGTGATATATACATAGATTAGCTGTGTAAAAATGACCAAATGATAGAACTGGAACTTCGATGAAATCATTATTAGACCAGAATTAAAAACCTGGAAGCACTGGATGGCTGTTTCGGCCTAGTATTAGACTCATCAGCAGTGCGCATCCACAACGCCCGCAAGAACCTGGGACTTGCGCGCGAACGCTTAAACCCAAGACCGCTAAACTGGCATCTAACGGTGTTAGTGCCTAATTTTGATCAACCTAAGGATTTAGCGCAACCTCAATCATTATCTTCGGTAGGTATATGTCTGGAACCAACATGGTTGAGCTCTACTGGTTATGTCTTCTCATCAGAACTCCGCTGATTTCCTCACGAAGCTAGTTACTAGTGAGCGAATTCATGATTTCAATGAAACTCAACAAGCTTCCAAACTCTATTGTGTCAATAGTCATATGCTCATACGGGATGAGTTGTCGAACATCTCTCACTTCAATACACGGATTCTCCCTAATATTATGATATAGCTTGCTAGCGGAAACCACTGCAGTTTCCACAGCGTTTAGGATATCATTCCAAGCTGCCTCGAGGTTGCCATCATTTGCATAACTGTCTTACTAGTTGCTCCTAATATATATACATAGCTTTTCTGTCGTTAACTAGAACCCTAAGAGATTTCCTTACAGTCTCCTATGTCCAGTAAAACGTAGACATACGTGCTCGCACTAGAGCGTTATCTAAATCAAAACATGTACTCCAGAATGGAAATTCTACTCGAAGAGTAGAGCTGACACTTTAAATACGTCCCATCAAAAGGCCGTGTGTGACCAGCCTCAAGCGGTTGTCCTTTGAGCGCTGCGGTCAGGCTCCCAGGTTTCTAGGATAAACACAGGAATGAAAGAAGAGTTGATCGTGGAGATAAGAGAGTTAATTAGAGGAGAAGTAAGGATTTGGTTGTGACCGATTCAGTCTTGTGTCCTTTTACAAGTATGAGGATGGACCTCACTTCCCAGCCGCCCATACCGTGGAATCATACTTCTTGGGTAACCCGAAAAGAAAGGCTGGCGTTGGTCTGAGCGACCCGGAAGCGGTACCACATAGCCCAAAGGACAAGTGCTGCAGGACGGTTCCGCAAGGCCTTTTTATGGCAAGTTTGTACAGTGTAAGCTCCGCTCTTCAAGTGGGCTTTCCACTGTAGACGGAAGTCCGTGAGTTAGCTGAGATGTGACAATTTTAGGGTCCACCTTTTCTAATCGATTTATTCTTTTTGAGAAAGCAGCATCACCGTAGTTGCTGGTTGCCGAGGTAAACACCTTACTGATGTCACAACTCTCTACAGTAATCAGTACGACTTTGACCTTAGACCTTAAGTTGCTGTTTTTAGTCTTACCATTCGATCTGCCTAGCATAGTAGGACCTAAAGCAGCATATATTCCAGGCATTATAGCTCGGTTAGGTCATAAAGATAGGCAAGCCTGAACACCACGTCAAGGTAGCAGCTACGGTCAGGTCATACATACATAACTCGGGAGATCAAATTATCTAGCATTTGTAGTTAATAGTTTGTTTCAACAGACGAACAGACGAATCAACCTGAGACTCCTAATTAGTTGCAAAGCTATTGCATTTCACCACACATGTACAGGTGACGCATTATACTAGTTGATCTCCGTTGGCAGTGATACAGAACATACACACATCCGTTCAAGTCGCCACACCATATCTGCGTAGCGAGATTAAGTTAACGAAACAAATGACAGAGTAGAAGGAGTAACCATGGTATCGTGAGTTGTAGGGAAAATTAGTTGTAAGGAGTGTGATTCGAGAAGGAAAAATCCGATCAGTGAATAAAATATATAGGGCCATCTTCAAACTCAAGATCTCGAGTAAGATAAAGATTGGATGCATCCACATCATTGCAACCGACTAGCAACCATATCACCCAACATCTCTAACCGATGACTCCGATGCTATTGAGGATGCCAACTAAATAATTTGAACCTACCAACATCGCCAGACCTGTCGGTCAATAACTTCATGGACTGATATCGTGTTCTGGCGTGGTCAACCTGATTCTCTTCCGATCTACCCGTTCACCAACAAACATCACTTCTCTAGGTATGTAGTAGGAGTCAGGAACACTTCACATACTTGTCAACTACCTCAATCGATAAAGATTTACATCATCAACCGACTTCCTACCTCAACATTGTTCACTCGATCTTCCCACGAAATACAAGCAATGTTTTTAAGAAAACAACCATCAAAATGTTACGTCAAGATAGGTCTTTTGTTTTCATAGACAATGTTTAAAAGTCTTAAGCTGTGAGACGATCAAGGATGCTCGAGTAAAGGGAGGTCAGTAGGTTTCTTCACTTTCTCGATAGATACTTTAGTGACGAATACTGCCACAAAACCATTTGGCTGAAGTAAAGTTGAATGCTGCTTAAACTTGAATTTCAGTTTGCTTGTGTTATGAAACGGACGAAGGGCGAACAACTGAACGATACATCTACATTTAAGTATAAAATTTGTTTGGTTCTCCGAGTTTTGAAGTTCGAGAACCGAAGTTAAGAGTTGAATAATTTCGGAAGCTTATATTTTAGATCTTATGTTAGCCATACTGTTTTCTTTATGGCTATCATAAGAAGTTTTCTATCTGTTCTCACAAACTAAGACGATCAGTGATCGAAACCAATTCGATAGAATTACGTCAAACCCCTGAACGTTTTCTAATATCCTAGTCAATCTAAGTGCTAAAATTGGACCATCATTTCTAAAGATTTTCAGAATCAATCAGTCAAGGTCAGCAATTTCGCTCCGTCTTAGAATATTATTTATAAACTATTCATCCTCACTAAAAGTTGAAGGATTTCTGTAAACTAGTTATTCAGGTTGTTCGCAGATAGCAGATAACTGAAGGGTAGCTAGCTGGAGAACAGTTAAACAGTTCCTTAAAGTTACGCTTGTCGATTTAATCCGTTGAATAGAGAATGAATAATAAACCCATCTTATTTTCGAAATATTTTCACTAACAGCTGATTTTTTTTATACTTATGTACTTATAAAATACGGATAAGTAGAAGACATGTGGACACTTTTACAAACAACCAAGCTAACAAGTGAGTTATTGATGAGGTCGAATGTATGAAAGATCAGAATAGTCTATCTGTTCAGAAGCTAGAATAGTTGCATGTAGGCGTAATAATAAAATCACTATAAATGACAGCAGAGTAATTGTACTTAATGAGCGTGATATCTTGAAGTAATAACAACTTATAATCTCAGAAACTAATTAGTTACGTTTACATACCACAAAAATCTCGGATAATGCTATATTTGGATTATAGTGGTCATAGATTCATAAAAAGTTAGTGAAAATCTTATTGAAATCACTTGGTTCTTCGTGATGTAATAAGAAATTTGTTAGGATATTCACCGGGTATCCTAAGAATACTATTTTTGGAAGTATAATCCTATTGGTCAAAAATATGGTTGTTTTAACTGTCAAAGTCAAATACTTCAATGTTGTCTCTGATTGGTCATGCGGACTGTCAATGTCATTTCAAATGTTCTTTTCTATTGGCCGTCCTAAACTGTCAAAACCACAGACTTTGATGCTCTTTCCTATTCGACCTAAACGTATAAATACGCACTATCTGTAAGACTTCATGATTCCGATTCCGTTCCTTCCTGCCTACCTCTCTTCTGTACTCGACCCAATAAACAACTCCATCCAACGGTGTTGCGTTCTGATATATAGGAGATTTGGGGAATAGTATTTGGGTCGTATTGGAATATTTGAATTCGGACGTCGGTAGGATTTGAATAGCTACGTAGCAGCATTATAACAAAATTAGCACAAAGATAATTTGTAATACTACAGTAATCTTAATTTGAAAACTAACACTATTTAGAATAATATATATACTAACTATATAAAAAGTACTTACAGGTAATTGTTGCGTTTCAAAATGCATTGATGTCGACAAATAATTATTGCCTGATAGATTCGATTTACTAAGTACTGTTGAATTGCAATTGTCCACTGGTGACATAAACTTTTTCGGTGTAATAAAAGAGGAAAGAAAAGAGTCAGATGGCGGAGCAGTTTGCGGTGTAATTGACGCTGGTGTTGTTGTAGGTGAAGATGAATGTGGTTGGGTTTCCAATGAAAAACGATGACCAAAAATTTTTAACTGCAAATATAAAACAGTACAAGAATGATGCGTAGGGAAAAAAAGACAAACAGATAGATTACATGCGACATACAACAACTAACTAGGTTATATGACCTAATGATCAGCGCATTTGATCGTTTACCAAATAACTAAGATGCGTATTCGATGCAATCTTGACAATTATCTATGTATCTAAGATACACCTACAAAAATGTATCGTTCACAAACTTGTATTCTCATACTGCAATTCTTTAACTTAACAACTTAATGATAAAAGTCATATCAAAAAATTACATTAGATCAAACTTATATCTAAAGACACAGCAATAAAACTACGACATAAAAGTGAAACAATTCTACGCAACAGAAAGGTATAGTTGTTTAAAGATTGATCAAATTGTTTCAAGATTCAAAATGAATGTATGAGTAGTTTAGGAAATTCAATTTAGCTATGCTTGGGGTGACCCGAAATATCCCTCAGAAAAGGTTCAGAAACGCCAGGAAACGTTTTATCCAATCAGCATTGAATAGAACTTTTTCAGAAACATCTGGAAAATACAGGAAAGCGTGCCACGATTCTGATTTCACATTCAACCAAACTGCTACTACATATGGTATAGTTCTCAAACACTTGTAATAACATGATAACTGAATTAATATTATGCTTTTTTTTTCTAAATCAACTTTTTGCTATACAAAACACTGTGTTTATCCATTTATCTGAAACAGTATCTAAAATTTGTTGTTTTAGGATAGAAATGCGTAAGGATGATAATAAAATATTATTTATATACTTTAGTACAAAGACCAACGTTGGAAATATTTCTCTTTGCTACATTTTTTTACGGTGTTCCATTGCTTTGTAGGTTAGATCTCTAGATTAGAGACCCAGCGAGTGCACCCTAATAAAACCACCTGTTTTGGTTCGGGTTTCCCGACAGTATAAACGTATAAACAAATTCAATAATTTGTGTGGCGCATAAATATTCAGATGGCGCTTCGTGTCAATGTTTATACTTAAACAAATAAATATATAAATAAGAAAAACTTAATAACCATGTAAACATTTGCATATAAGATCTGTGATTTACATTATATATGTGGGACGTAACGATAATAAACAGTTGATCGATAAAGAGGTCAGAAACCGTAAGAGAAAAGTTGAAAGTGAAGCGTTTTAGATATGGATTCTTTATACCATTTCTTCTGCATACATATAGAATATGGTAGGATTTATTCAATAAGATGCCAAATGGAATATGCTAACGATGATGTTTCTTTTCTTCATAATAATCAACGTATAGTAAGGTGACCATTAACAGACTTAAAATGCATTGTGAACTCACTCTTTCTTAGAGAGTATCAATTGTGAGCATACTACTAGTGGTAATTTTCAAATTCGAAAAACTACTGATTCAATGATACTTCCTAATTCTTATACAACCTACTGTGAAAGAAGAAAACACACCAGATTCCAGCTGAGGAAGATATTGGGGGAAAAAGCGCTGGAAGTAGATAGGACACAGACTACGGAAAGCATTTAACTGAATCACAAGACAAGCCCTAACATAGAATCCTTAAAGTCAAAGGAAAAGGATCAGATAAAAGAACATATAATGCCGAAAATTAGAAGCAGACATCAGAAGAACGAACAGCAATTGGCTACAACTGGAAAAGAAGGCCTAGAATAGAATAAATTGGAGAATGCTGGTCGATGACCTATGCTCCATTCAGGGTAACAGTAAGTCACACCTATTTCTCATGATCAACATGTTAATGTATCATGGGGAAAAAAAAGAATTGAATAAACCTCTTCCATATAACATACCGGTTTATTACGACGTAGCCATTTGAAATCTTTTGTAGTTGAAACCGATGATGAAATATTTTGATTATATAAAGCTTGAGATGATTGACAATATGTATTGCGACGATCACTAATACTATTTGCATGCAATGTAGGAATATTAGTTGATTTTGTATTCAATGGAAAATAATAATGATATGATGGAAATGTTACTGATGATTGTGTAGGTTGATGAGTTTGAAAATCTGTAGGATCAATAAAAATTGGTTTGGACGGTGTACTATTATTACTAGTGTAGCATGTTGTAGTAGAATGATCATAACAATGACAATGTGAACAAGAATAAGTGGATGAACAGGATTTATTATTACACGGATGTAATTGTTGGGATGAATTAATGGAGGATAGGAATTCTGATGAAAATTTATTATCTTTATTATTATCAGGAATTTTATTACAATCTGTTGAAAGTTGTGATTGAAAGCCAAACTGAAAAATAAGAGCAATAAAAAAATTCAAATTTATGCAAATATACAAGACAAGTTGTTTCATGAATAAAGTAGGTGAAGTTTTTAAAATTCTGTATGAGTGATTCACTTTGATATAGAGTTTTTGAAATTCAAAATGGAACCCTGACACCTATGGAGTTAACTACGTTTGTTGTGAGACCAGTACCGCAGACGATATTGGGGATTCGAACGCAGGACCTTCGGTCTTGTACGCGAACGCCTAACCTCTGGGCCGGCATTCAATGGTGTTAATGTCTAACTCTGATTAATCTAAGGATTTTCTGCGACCTCACCCATTTGTCTTCCGTAGTTACTGCCTACACCCGACAGGGTTTAATTCCAATGGTTACGTCTTCTCACTAGAACTCCGAGAATTTCCTCACGAAGCTAGTCACTAGTGAGCACATTTTACGATTTTTCAATTAGAGTTATGAAGATCAATGTGCAAAAAACACTAATCTCCATAACTCTGAAACAGATGACAATGATGTTATATTACAAAAAAACAGAAGATAAGTTTTGACTTAATGGTTGAATAGTATCATGTTATGCTAGTTATGGGACTTGAAAATTCTGAATCTTATTTCCTTCTCTCCTCTAAAGAAGCCATGAATATCCTACTAATGACAACTAGTGCATCAGAATGAGATAGTTTCAGATCGATTCTTGGTGTTCAAAATGATTTCTATGTTGGTTGTAACTAAAAAAGAAATTTGATGAGTTACATTATGTCACACTGAAACAATCAACACATTCAGTTTATATATTTAATATTAACGCCTATGACAAATACATAAAACTTTAAGTTATTATACAGAAAATAGTAACGAATTGAAAAGTATCACACTTATAACTAAGAATTGTTTCTATTCATCCGAAAAAGCTTCTTTTTTTAGTAGACAAGTACTGAGAGATTTGCAAATACTAACAAAATTGCTGCTGAACTATTTTGTTTATATACATGATTGAATAATAATGTCTGTTATGAATGACACGTCACCACGTCAATTGGATATGCTTGAACTATTACGAGTTCACCTTAGTTGGTAAACGAGAGCTAAGACAATGATCCAGTGACACGATAGGCTATTTTAATCCGTTTCCCCGTCTAAATGAAGAAAGAAGCCTTGATAAGGCGTAGAAAGTGTATTCTACAAGCACCCATGGAAATGAGGTCCGAGTCCAGATGAGGATCAGAATCCCGAACTAAGGATTCGGATCAAAGGACGCTACAGACAATGCATATTTATACATTTAATTGAATAGGAAACAACATTTGAAGTATGTGACATTGATAGTTAGGACGACCAATAGGAATT